GTCGTGGATTTGTTTTACTTTATTTTGGACGCAATAAGTGGGATGTTTGGTTCGTATTTGTGTCGGCTCAGTTTTGGGAAAACTTCGCCGATGTGGAGAATTATAGAATTGGCGAAGAAATTGGAGAAGAACAGATTTTGAAACCAGGGGGACAATTTTGGTCATATTCGGTCGACCGCGATGCTAGGCCGATCGACCGAATACGTGCACAGACCCTGGGTATGATTCAGGGCTTGGTGCGGGCGACCGTCGCGATCAACCGTCAAACCCTGTAATCAAACCCAAGAGTCTGGAGTTGGGTGCGATGGACTACCGTGGTCGACCGTCGAATCCTGCAATTAATTTTCTGGGTTCTGTGTTTGTCGCGGTCGACCGCGTATCGGGTCAGGCCTTGTTCTTTGTTTCCTGTTCTGATTTGGTTTTGAGTTTGATATAAATATCAAACACAATTTAGGGTTTTGGGAGAACAGTATTGGGGATATTTGAAGCACAAAAAAGAGTCTTTTCTAGAGCTATTGGTTAGGATTTTATTTGAGAGATTGAGAGCATTGTGTGAGAGATTAGTTTGTGGATTTGTAATCTCTATTTATACTATTCTTCTCTATTAGTGAAAACTCATCTCCTTCTTGTCCCGTGGACGTAGGCAACTTGCCAAACCACGTAAAATTCGTTTGTTTGTGTTTGTGCCGCTATTTTTTAGATTGTTTGGCATTCTCTCTGGGCGTTTGTTTTAGTTCCTCGAAGCACAACAAGTGGTATCAGAGCATAACACAATTAACATTTTTATTTTTCTATAAAAGTCATTTTCACTGATCAAAACTTTAAAATTATGATAAACTTAGCCGTTATAATTTACACTCTAAACATTGAATCAAAAACCTGTTTTTAGAAGATAAATTATATCTAAGGGGGGGTTAGTCATCTAGAACTTAAAATTAGAACTGGGATAATCCATGAGATAAATTTTTAAGGTGTTAGTCACATAGAACTAAAACTAGAATAAAATTTTACAGTGTTAGTCAATTAGAACTCTAACAAAACTAGAATTGGGATAATTGTATAAAATTATCCTATTTTTTTATTTTTCTATACAAAAATGGGAGTTCTAGTCTCTCAAATTATTCCAAGTTTTAGGTTGGAACTATGTGGTAAAAAACTAGAACTCATATTTATTTTGTTATTTTTTATATTTCTTTTTTTTCTTTATTTCTTTCCTATTTTGGTTATCACCATCATTAGACCATCATTATAATAATAATTGTCAATATCTTATAGTCTAACCAAAAGTTATTTAATAATAAAGAACATTCTTGTAAGCAATTATCAATCAATAATAGTAAGTTTAAAATACATAAATAGTATTTATATCTTCAAATTGCATAAATATATATTTCATGATTATAAAATTTATCCCATGTTATTTTATCAAAATATCCCGCTTCACAAATTGTTCCTATTTATCCCACTAAAATATCCCACTAGCAAAAAATTATTCCACTTTAACAATTATCACATTTCGCATGAAAATGTCCCAATTGACTAACACCCCCTAAGGAAACTTCCAGTTTAAATGCTAGTGTAGAACTTGAAGGAGGAATCTTCATGAAAGACCCAAGCCCCCAACAGTACCAACTTGACCCTAAGTTAAGATATATAATTTTATTAAGAGCTCATAGCTCCGTAAGCCAACAAACAAAGGAGAGGTTAAAAATAAAAAGGGAGCATATGCTGTTTCCAGATTCGTCCAAAAGATTCGGATTCCCGCACCAACGTGATAAAAGAGTTGGCAAATAAGTTATTAAAAAAATTTAAACACTTATATATAGAGAGAGATGAGTATGCTTGGTACCAAACATAAATTTTGTGCTTTGGTAGTAAGGTGACACAATCCTCTCTACTCATTCAAATGGGGGATCACATTCACATGGATTGAGGAGTGTATGAAGATATGCAACCATTTGAATAAGTAAAGGAGATTATGCCACCTCACTACCAAGCATAACTTTTTGTGCTTGGTACCAAGCATACATATTTTTCTCATATATATATAGGTTTTAACACTTTCTCCCCTCCATTCACATTTACCTCATTAATGACAATAGTACTCTTCCCTGTCTTAACTTAAGCAAGAAACACAGGTAGTTTCTTCACTGGAAGGAAGAAGCAACTTGCTCTTTTGTTGTTCTTGTGAGCCTCAAAGCTCAGTCAAAAAATATCCAACCTTTTCCCCCTTATGTGAGCACACAATTTGCTAAAATATGGAAGTCTTCTACTAGCCTTGAGTTGTAAACCTAAGCCATGAGAAAAATGGGTATGCTTGGTAGTGAGGTGACATAATCCCCTCCACTCATTCAAATGGTTGCATATCCCCATGCACTCCTCAACCTATGTGAATGTGGTCCCCCATTTGATTGGTAGTGAGGTGACATAATCCCCTCCACTCATTCAAATGGTTGCATATCCCCATGCACTCCTCAACCTATGTGAATGTGGTCCCCCATTTGAATGAGTGAAGAAAATTGTGTCACCTCACTACCAAACATAAAATTTATGCTTGATACCAAGCATACCCATATTTCTCATTATATATATATAATGAGTGTGGTGGTGACGCCATACTCCATCAACTAACTGCGTATTAAAATCACAATGGCAGATGCCGTATGAAGAGCATAACCACTATAGTTTAATTAGTCAAAATTCCTAATCAGTGCCTATTTTCTTTTAACGGGGAAAGGAGAATTTTGGTGGGCTGTACAGCAAAAGGGCAACTCTCTTATTAAAGGGGAAAAGGTGAGAGGTGAGAACGGGAATCTTACAGTAAAAACCTCTATAAGAGGAATACAGTTATATTGGATTGATTAGAGAGAAATTGATTGAGGCAACTTGCAAGTGCACTCTGTGCTAGCACATGCCTTATATGGGCTTATTATGCTTTATATTTTCTCCCTTAAGTAGTTGTGTATCACTTCTCTCACCTAAAAGTGCACTAAATAAAGCTAAAAAATGTACATTTGTCTACTATTTCATAATGCATCAAAAACTATGTGGATCTCTAAATTAAGTAGTAAGTACCACATTCATTCCCCCCAGAGGCTTGGCACTAACATACAAAGGAACCTACTTCCAACAACACAAATCCATCACCATAGGCACCTTCTGCCTCTCTCTACCTCAATGAACCAACCCCCTGTCAATCAAAAGAAACATGGATGGTCCCTTCACATTGTTCTTCGTTACCAAGGTTGGCAAGGAGAGGCGCACTTCTCTCATCAAGAGCCTAAACACATCTATTGGACTACATGAGCAACTCCTCACATCATAAATGACGATTTATTAAATATGCATCACGTTAGCGATACACCAACTAAAGAGTAAAGACGAACATGTAAGTCCTCGTTTACTCCTATTATATGAGCACACAGATTGTATTATCTCCCCTATGCTCTTGTTGCCGTGTCATTAATACAACACACATCCGGACTTTTTAGTTTAAATCATCAACGTACGCAGATAATAGTTGATAATTTGAATATACATCACCTCAGTAATACAACAGTCAAGAATGCAGATGGACGTACTGCTCCCTTAGTCTTGCTAAAAATACAACTATAATGAATACCCTAATAATACTTTAGACAGTGAATATATTATACATTAGTAATGGCAAGGCAGGAGGATCCCTGAGCAGAGGCTCGAGTTTAAGTTGACACAAGTTTTGCTGGTGAAGATGGGGGACTTAAACTCGAGCCTCTGCTCAGGGATCCTCCTGCCTTGCCAAATTTCCCCCAACACCTTGCAAGTGCAATGCGGTATTACACCATCTCGAACAATGATGAGACTCAACCCGCCTCAAGAATGATTAATTTGACGGTGATCAGAAACACGACGAAGTCGAGAAATCATAACTTGTCTACATCTCTAATAAAGGGGAACCAAAGGCGCCTGTAAGGACTTTGGGAGTACTAATGAGAGATGCCATGCCAAAAGTGACACCTGCTTCCTTGATTGGACCTTGGGATTGGGCCTTCGGGGCCCATAATTCCTGAGATCCATCAACGACGGCATCAAGTGGAAGGGCCTAAAAATTGTCTGTTAGTAAGAGCTATGGGCCCCGTTTGAAGTTCCTCCACCCTCCATTTTGAGCATCATTAGTCATACGTACGCACTAAATGGTGATGGATGCTCTTTGTCAGCCATTATTGTAAATTGTACGCTATGTACCATTCAGTTCACACATTCCTTATGCCCATGTGGCGTTGAGCGAACACTTGGTTGGATCTATTTTGACCATTTTTTTTCAAATCGAACCGATTCAAACTAGATTCAAAATCGAACTGAACCGAATCAAATGTGTTCGGTGGTGCTCAATTTGTTCGGGTTAGGCATAGACGAGACAAGTTAGAGATTTCTTTTTATTTATTAAAAAGCTAGAATTCAACACTCTTACAAACTTCTCACCCGTTTTATTTCCCAAGTTGACGAGCAAATTAACTAATCGACTACTTTAGAAGCTAAAACCAAAGCTTTATTAATTAAAAAAAATGTAAAAATAGTAGTATAGATTATTTTGCATGTCTTTTTTAGACAATTACGTTGAGATTGATTGGTTGGTTCGATTATTTCAGTTTCGGGTATTCTAAAATCGAACCAAACCGATGCTTTTTTTTTCCACAACTGAACAGAACCGCGGAAATTCAACCGTTCGATCAGGTTTTTCGATTTGCACCAGTTAGTGCTGCTGACCCCTATGCCCATGTGTTACTAATTAAAGCTAATTTCTAAGTAAGAGCCCACTTAGGCTCATTTGTTACATTTTGTTTGTATGTACGAAACATGCACGAAGAATAAAGGATCAGAAAAGTATCTATCTAGCTAACAACTAGCTATTGCCTGCCTATAAAATTTGCAAAGCGATATACAGAAGCTTGCAAGTCGACCTCGTAAACTGTATAGAGTTTGAAGATCTATGTTAGACAACGTGACATAGCTCATACGAATCATTCAACAATGGTTAACCTACAAATTCCAGCCAAAGCACGGTTATGTTTCTCGACGACAAAGCTATTAAGCAATTACAAACTTACAGTAGAGAATACGTAACAATTCACAACCTGACAGACCGAATTTATTCACGACTTATATCATCATATATCATCGCAGTCGTATTGAGAAGCCAATAAATTTAGATAATATAGGCGGATTACCCCCGACAGGATCTTGAGTTTCTGTTCATCGGCTTCAAGAACTGTGAACCAACAGAAACAGAAAGAAATGATTTGAACTGCACAGAAAAGTCATCAAGAACCTCTCTCAACTCTTTGCAGTTATAGTCACAAATTGACTACATCAACAAACAGAAGGGGCCCAGCTCTGCTACCAGTCATCCACATACAAGTACATAAAAAACGTACGTACGTATATCCACATATATAACATATATATGTAGGCCAATCATAAAATCTGATTTAAAATGCAAGTTTGTCGAGGTGTCGATCCATGATTTTCGAAATGGACTCAAGGAATGCAGCTTCGCTGGTTGAATGAAGAATGCTGTCCTTTGCTTCACTGATCATTTCCTCAATCTTGGATCCCTTTTGGAGAGTTTCTCTGCACAAGATGCTTCCAATTTCGTATGGAGTAAGCCCTCTTTCTGCTCCCTTCTTTAAGAGCATAGTGGAGATGCGAAGAGTTCTGGAGCATTCGAGGGACAAATCCCAGCCGTTGAATTTTAGAAGGGCAATATCCTGTTCAGCATCCAGAGATTTGATGTACTCAATGGTTTCGGAGTTGAAAGGCTCACGGGCTTGAGGCCAGTAGAGCCACTCAAAGGTGCAGTCCTCAAACTGCATTGAGTACAGGCATTGGAAAATAAGAGCTTATTAACGAAATGACAATTGAAAGGGAAGGTAAAAAAAAGATAAGAAATGTGTAACAAGAAGGCCATAGTTTCACCATAGAAGATACTCGTTTGAGGGTCTAATGGACATGATCATATATGCAACAGAAATAAATGGGATTCAGGTTAAATATAAAACATTCAATCTAAAGTTCTAAACCATAGTTAAAAAGAAAGTTGAATACTACCTGAAGTCTGTCATGGTTTTTTAATTTAAACACACGAAGGCAAGTGATAGACTCCAAAGAAAAAAATTAGTCTTAGAAACATTAAAGGTGGTAGACATGAAATGGGTATACTTTTTGGTGACAGAAACTATTTAAAATTTGTTTAGCATAAACTTCCCTTTCAAGTCTAGAGCATATTCTTCAACTTAATGATTTGAGGATGGAGTGACATTTTCAATAAAAAAATATTACTTAGTCTATAACAAAAATACATCAATTATTCTGCAGTGGAAAAGCTTGTGGTCATAAACTGAACATTACTATGGCCACTTAGACTAGGGGCTAAAAGGCTAACATTTTTCTACTTTAATGCACCAGAAAAAAAACACAAGAATGAACTTTTAATATTTATATTTTTACTATATTTACATCTATAAGCATAAACAGGTGAATCACAGGTATATATATTACTCTTACCATATCTTATGGATCAAGCTAGCCGGAAAATTTTACGCTTACATGCCGTTTAGATAAGAATGTAATAAAACTTAGCTTTATCCTTAAGATTAGGGGTAAATAGGCCATAAATTATATGAAACAATCTTCTGCAATGAATCTGGCTGGTTAATTCAAGCAACTTACCCACGTAATTTTTTTTATAAATAAAGTCTCCTCAATGTCTGACCTAATTGGAAGTGAAACATGAAGACCTTATTCAAAACAGAGTAGTAATGATAAGGTTCTAAATAATAAAAGGACTTTATGACTATTTGAAAAACTAAGAAACATAGAAGGCTGGACTCATGGATTTCAAGCATGACTCATCTTAAATCCCCCAACAAGATCCTGTTTGGATTCATCCATGCTCTTATAGATCCATCCTAGATATTCTAAGCATCTCTATTCTTTAGATAAAATGACATGTTACTTTTTATTTTCTTTAATACATGATAATGTATGGCAGTCCATAGGACACTGTTCAACTTGTATCATGCCTAAGTGTCAACATGGAAACAAAATTGGTAAACGGAGTGCCTTGCTAATTCTGAGACAAACAATTCTTCAACAACAACAATAATTAGAATATGATCCACGAGTTGAAACATACGAATTGTAAGGTATGACCAAATCCAATGGAAAAAAAGGGAAGAGGAAGATTTAAGGGCGTTGTTGGAGCAAAAGCACTACATTTGACCTAAACAGACATGAGTTTAGAAATCCAAAAGAAGTACACTGTAATTGTTGAGACATTAGTTTAGAAATCCAAAAGAAGTACACTGTAATTGTTGATCCGACACTTAGTGCCCCTCAATTCATTTATGCAAACAAACAAATTTTGGGATAGGGTCTGCAGAGTTGTACATGATTGCAATGTAAAACAAATAAAGAAAAATAGTTTGATGTGTATGCAGTGCGAAAAACTTAAAAAAGGTAAAATTAACAAAGCAATTATTGAATTCACAACTCCAATCACCTAACCATTGAGTTCGAGTTACTTGTAGCTCAATCAGTAAACTATCTCATTGACATTTAAAGCATTCTCAAATACAATCACCTAACAATTGGGTTCAAGTTTACACTGAAAGAAATATGTGAACTATCTCATTGACATCTAAAGCATTCTCAAATGCAATCAGTAAAGAAATAAAATGCATAGTATAGCAAGGTAGTCTTCAAATCAAAAGCTTTATCTACAAATTGACAACAAAATAGAAACAAACTTAATTTCCCATGTCAGATATAATAAACAGAAGAGCCCAACTAGCAACTTCTAAAATCTAAGATACTTACAGACTCAGGCAGACAATATCCATGATCAATTGGGATCAGCACAACACGTCCTTCCTCTCCTTTGCAAAATAATATATTACCAGCATGCCTATCTGTATTAGCCAATCTTATATCCAACACAGAGATCTTGTGGACCTCCTCCACTGGAAAAGCCAAAGGCCCCCTATCCTCGCAGCTCCCACAGTTCTTCACAAACATCTGCAATGAACCAATCTTGGATTTCTTCTCATCATGTTCAAACCCTTTTGGATGATTAAAACCTTCATGTAAGCAGCATGCCATGACAGTTGGAGGAACACCAGAAAACCCAACACCATCACCCATGAATGATCGACGACCACTCAATGGATGGTCAAGAATGTAAGCTGCCATTTCCCTAAGTGCACCTTCACCAACCCTTGTCCCCTTCTTCAAGCCTTCACCATTTGATGACAAGGGAAGCCCTCGTGGGTTGTTCTCTGCCATTGGCTCCTCATCAATCGGCTTAAATACAGCCACATATTCTTGGCCTGCTACATCCTGCATAAAATAAGCTCCTCCTGTGCCTTCAGAAGACATAATTGGAGGATTTCCCTTCTCCAACCCATCTAACGTCAAACGCAAAAGGTTATGGATCACTGTAGGAAATTCAACCTTTGGATTTACAACAAGTGGCTTGATCCAAACATCCGGAAGCGGTGATTTGCTCACGATGGCATCAAGATTATCGAACCCTCTATTCTCATTCGCAGCCAGAGCGTTGATTGATAACTCAAAGTCTCTCTCACCTGGCTTAGTCCTAACCTTAACCGATTTCCTCACAAGCAAGTGGATAACTGCATCATTATACTTAAAAATATCTTTAATAATTGATTGATCATTGAGCTCCTCACCATCATAAATCAGCCTTTGGTCGTCAAGATTGACAAAATCATCCCCTCTCTTTGCAATCTGCTGTTTGACATAAGCAACATTTCTGTTTCGATCAATATGAAACTTAAATTTCTTTCCACAAGCAGTCTTCACAGTGATTGCACTAAGTTCTGGCAAGCGAATAACAAGGTGAAGCACGTTGCCGTCCGCAACTCCATAGTCCTTAACAAGGCATTCATTCCTCGCTAGCTCTCTGCCATCAAATACAAGCTTCTGCTTCTTGACTACAACCCCTTCAGAGCTCTGAATCCGGAGTTTGACAGATGCAATTGAATCGGATTCAAGGACCCTCATCGGGATTGCTGACGCTCCCATTACCATCAGATAGATCAGAATGGATTCAGTGGAGCAATGTGGGGAGTGATTGCAATCGAATCTAAAGGCAGAGAATGCCGATTCATCTTGAATCGCACTGACAGCAGATCCAGATGAAGACATTTTGTTGAATGGGAGTCCGGATTCCCTCAATTTGCCTCTAGAAGGCAAAGGAAACCCTAATAGCAAATCGAAACCCTAGAAATCATCTAAAAATTGGAACTTTGGTCAATTCCTCCTGAGACATTGACTAATCAAGACCTAAATTGTGAAAGAAAAAAAAACAAATGTACAATTTCACCCTGGATAGCCTAAGAAGAATGAACAAACCCAAATAAGGGCGAGTTCCTCCTTTCTAAGGATTAGGGTTTCGCTCCAACAATTACATGGAAATTTTCGAGGAATTCTGATCAATTTTCGATTGGAACAAGGAAAAAGCACAATAATTGGGGAAGTGCGCGTTTATATTTCATTGAAAAATTCAAAAACAAAAAAAATAAATGGAGGAAAAAAAGGGGAAAGAGATGGATTCTTACCGAAGGAAGAACCAAGGTGGAAATTTGAGGAAATGGGATTTAAATTTCATGATAAAAATAGAAATTTGGTGATTATTGTATCTAATTATGGTTTCGTTCTGTTTGGTTCGGTTGGGGATCGAGCGCTTTACTTCTTCGTCTACTCCTCGTTCCATAAAAGCCCGCTCTTTTCTCCGTAGCCTTCGCTTTAATACACGTGACGCCGTTATAAGAGGGTTAATATATATATCCTTGAGTTTAAGAAAATTACATATTTCGTGTGGAATTTTGCATATTTCGTTCATATGACTTTTTCATGAACAGATGAACGGAATTCAAATCAAGGATAAAACAAATTGCAGAATACTCCTTTTGAATAGAAAAATTATATGATGGAAATATCCCACCTTACGACTGCGTGACCAAAAAATTACTTAATTAATAAACAATAAAAGATTAGCTTTTATGAGCTTTAGGGGGTGTTTGTTTGCATGCAAGTGAAAGATGAAAATGAGAAAGTTACTTTCATTTAACAATTAAGATGTTTATTTTCATGTAAGTGGTTATGAAAGTGAGATGCAAGAAAGTTACCACATATGATTTAATATAATTTTAACTTCCCCTAAAAAAGTGGTGAAGTCACATGAAAGTGACAAAAATGTAACTAATTTAATTAAATAATTTTAATTATACTCTCTAATTAATCTTATTTTGTTACGTCATCTTCACATTGCACTTTCGATAATAATTTAATTTTTCAAACAAACACTGTATTTCACTTGCGTGCTGACATGGATGTAAAAGTCATATACAAAAAAAAAGTAACTTACATATTTTAAATTCACTTTCAGATTGCCAAACACCCCCTTGGAAAGTTCTAGAATTTGTTTTCAAATAGCTTTGGAATTTTGAAAGGAGAATTAAAGCCATTTACGATCTCATAGTTCGAAAGGTGAACAGAAAACCGAATGAGACGCACTCCTTTTTTTCCCCCTTTGTTTTTTTTTCTAACTTCCTTTGTTCAACCCAAAATATATCCTCAACAGATTTGGGTAAGATTTAGTAAGAAGAATGCGGAAAAATTGGAAATAGAAGAACCTGAATTAGTTAATAGAAATGGAAGATAAAATATAATTAAATATGACTCAGGGCATGTAATGTTGCACATGTCTTTGGGAGCTGAAGAACCAATAGTGGATAATGAGTATGAGACGATAAATAATAATAATAATAACGTAGTTTAAACACCCGCAAATCCGCAATCTCCTCGAATTACATCCTCAGTTCATTATATCAAGCAACCAAAAATTAAATTTGCCCATAACCAACTAGAAAGAACAAACACTTTGCTCATAACAAGTAACATGCATCTTAAACTCATAGACCATGATCTTCTCCCTGTTAATAGAAAATGATCTGAACAACCTTGAGAAAAATTATCGAAATAACAAAAAAAAATTATTATTTTTCACTTATACAGCAAACAGCATCAAAATATCACCTCAAAACTTGGTTCCAACTGTAGCGATACATCAGAAGCTGATTAAGAATTTAATTAACAAATTATTTCATATTGTACAGCCGGAAGTATCACATCTACACGCTTAATTCCTCTCTCGTCTGTCAGTACCAACTGAAACTAGCATATACAGCGGATTAGGAGACCCTTGGGCTGAGAATGTATATTTGTTGTCGATGTGTGAGTTGCTGTATCTGCTTCAAGATTGAAAGCACATAACTGATACATTGGTTTTGTCGTCACGATCAATGAGAGTTCTTCCCTACAAAGGTCCATACTCCATAGCAATGCATATTTTGTTTGTTATATAGGGAGATGCTTAGTAAATATCAGGAAACATCTTGCTTAAGGTTTACATAATTTCATCATCGTTTGCTTCTGAATTCATGACAAAGCTAGGAAATGCCATGGTGATGTGCCTGAAATAGAAAATGCAACTATCAGTCAATATGAACTGGAGAAATTTTATAAAATCTTAGAAAGAATTAAAAAATTACCATGAACTTTTTCTCACTGAACTACCATGCCTGATGGCACTAGGGTGAGTTGAACACATGTGAAGTTTTGGACAGTTTTGCCCTTATCTACTTTATATATCTTATATATTGCTTTTACCCCCTCTTCTCTCCTATTTTCAAAAGCAGTTTAGATATTTTATTCAAGCCGTTAATGCTATTAGCCATACTTTCCCATAGATTATGATGTTTTCTGCAGTTTTAAGTTCGGTTTCTCTGTTAAAAAAAAGTTTTAAGATAGTTTTGTGCAAAACCCCAAAGTTCATGGTGGTTTTGTGAAGTTTTCCCCTAATAAAATTATGCCAGCTCATAACTCATGATATCCTCCTCAACAAATCATATCCAAACATGAAATATCAGGCATGTCACATGATTGACGCCCTGTTTCATTCTCGAAGAACGAAACATGTGTCCTCAACAAATCATATCCAAACATGAATTATTCAGAGATTAATAGCCGTGATATTTGAACATATTTGGAATGTAGTGCGCTTGTGTGATCAAGCATAAGCATGTGATTTTCCAAGGCCTAACAAGGTTTAGAGTGAATACGATGAAGAAGGCAAAAAGTTAAAAGGGGATTGCTTCAGCTATTGACAGCGTTACAAAATGCATTATGTACATTATGTAAGAATATTCACACAAAGTTCAAGGGGATTGATTTTGCTTTTGAGAACATGGAACAGTGTAGCTTATTGAAGCATTATTAACTGAGGACTATGTTTTCATTTATTGAGAAAGGATAAGTAATAATTAAGCAACCACAAGTAACAAAACATTGTTCTAGATTTAGAAGAGTGTGTCATTGTACGTGCACATTACCAAATAGAAATAAACAAGCACTAAATTATATTAACTTTATGAGATATTATTTGTAGAAAATAATGGGCAACAATAAGAGGCACCTTAAACTTATGCAACTTGAGGATTTAATATAGAAGGATAGAAGACTCACTTTAAGTATGGAAGAGTCATGTTCTTCAGCAATGATGGATTTTTATCTACATATTCCTTCCATTCGTCCGGATCTATCTTTCCATCACCCTTCTTATCTGCCTCCATGAAAGTCTGTAAAAGCAAAGAAATAATTGAAATCCTCGAAAAACCAATTGTATATGTCACTATGTTGCGGCAATAAAATGTGAACAGAAAAGACAAATCCTCACCTTATCGACTATTTGATCAACAACATCATCAGAAAGGCATAAATCTGATTCACTAAAAAGAGCCAGCACCATCTCTTTTAACTGTTGAGAGCAATAAAGAATACAAGGTTACTTTCATAGAATGACTTCATACAAAATAGAACAAAATCACAAAGTAGAAAATTAAGATTCTACCTCGACACGTTCAATATAGCCAGTGCGCCTTAAGTCATACAGTCTAAATGCAACTGCAACAAAAGAAGAAGAAAAAAACGAACCTTAGAAGCTAGTTGATATACTCAACAAGATCATCATCGAAAAAAGGCAGAAAATTTTGGAACTATCTAATAAACAGCTTATCGTAGTATATAAACCTCCTTAAAAGCTTGCATTACTCCCAACACTAAACTTTGAAGACATTGTATATCACTACAAACATCAATTATATGCACATGTCGTAAATGATAACAGCTCATACATGAAATTTTTTCCGTTTGTGCTGTATCAGGGTGGAAGATGCTTAAAGATCGAACAAATTCTCCAAAATCAATAACACCATTGCCTTTGACATCAAACAAGCCAAATACCTGCAAGCAATTACAAGATATTGAAATCATTAAATTGGGGAAATGCCAAGACAGTAAGTAAAACATGTATATCATAAACTTCCATATTATTATGAGCAACAACACTTTCAAACTTAAAAGAGTAGTGTTTATAAGATTGTTTTCTTTTTATGGGATCTTTGTAAAATTTTAGGGATGTTGGCTTTTTGACAAGTTCAAACAGTACCATTGCCAGTTCCTCTCCTCTATCTATCAACATATGTACTTTTCGCATAAGTTACTCTACTTTATACTCCTTCGATAAAACTGTGGTGATGCTCTTATCCTTCTTAAACAAACATTGCTCGTTGCTCTAAATGCGAAGATACTAAATTAATAAATAATTGTAAATGATTTCAACATACATATAGGCGAGATCATCAAATATCAGAAAACCCCTCTTAACTTCCAAAATATCAGAAAAACACCCCTTAAGTATCAGGACTATCACAAACCCCCCTTTAACTTTCAAATTTTATCACAAAATCCCCTAATTNAATTTTCAAAGTTAAGGTGGGTTTTTTCATATCCCCTAAACTTAAGGGGCCTTTCTCATATCCCCTAAACTTAAGGGGGTTTTTCTGATATTTTCAAAGTTAAGGAGGGTTTACTGATAATCATCCAAAGTTAAGGGGGCTTTATGATATTTAGCCTAAGATAAAATACAAAGTAAAAGATGAATGAGAACCAACCCTGTCTGCAAATAGATTCTTCTTATTGCAATTCTTGAAGAGGGCAAGTTGGAATTCCTCCTGCTTATAGAAGATGATTTATAACATATGAAACACAATCTTTTGGATAACATTAATACTCATAACTTTATGGTGAAGAAAATACCTTATGGATAAGCCCATCTTTGATTATGGCATGGCTTAATTTTTTAAATAGCTCATATAACGCCTCTACCTCATTTACAGTAACTGCATTCAGGTAAAAATAATGTGAACATGCACAAATAAGAGGCCAAAATCTAGATATAGCAAAATTTTGAGTACTAAAAGATATGTATAGAAACGTGTCTGCGCAGTCACGTGTGTGTGTGCGCACGCGTGTGTGTGGATGTATGCATAGATTGCATATATCATTATGTACCTATCTATATCTAAACATGCACCAGTTAGGCACATGAATGCACATACAAAGCCTTAGTACTTCCAGTCAATCTAAGCCAAAGTTTACATTAGAACTCAATGATAGTGTTTCAAATAGAGAATTCATCCTTAATCTCCATCACCAAATTTAAAGGCCCAAAAGAAGTATATTGCTAGATTACTGTATTCCTTGTTAAAAGGGAGTTAATCTCGATTGAGAATTACAATGATAGATTACTGTATTCAATGTTTTCAAGGCTGAAACCAAATGAATGAGTCAGAGAGTCAGTACAGACACGCACAAGCAGTCTCGGAAGCAAGAAGAGTAGGATCCTCGTATCCAGGTGTGTGCTTGACGTGATTCACATTCTTCGCAAACACACAGCCCATCAAAACAGAAAACAGCAATTTAATCGAAATACAATCAAGAACAAAGTGCCGGCTTTCTACTGAATATTTATGCACCTGTCAATAAATAGGAAAGGAAAAAGGTTTAACAAGATAGAATATAATATACCTATAGAATAACATTGAGACTAATGTAGGCTCTTAGATGTGCATATAACACAGAAGATAATGTATGCTTATGGAAATTAATGACGATCATTGATTACGAAAGAAAAACTACTTATATAGAAGATATTAACATAGGAAGCAATGTGGCTTGAAGGTCCGCATACAAATTGGAAAGAAAAATGCATACCAAACTTTAACATTGATCACAAAAGGGAGAAATACTGCAAAAAGTACTAAATACAGATGACATAAATCAGGCTGTTTCGTCGACTAAAACATAACAATTGTAACTCCAGCACCACACATATTTACAGATCAAAAAACCTTATACAATACAGTTCTCCTCAATTATTCCATGACATTGACCCACAATTTTTAGTGCTCTTATAAGCATAAAATCCCAGCATAGTCACAATATATTGATAACCAAAACATGAGCTAAAGGTATCATCCTAATTTGGTGGAGTAAGAAAATTCCTAAGATAACTGCACACCATTCAAATTTTCATCTCGGGGAATGTTATTTAAAAAATTGACTTTAGAAGGGAAATTTACAAGATTGGTAAAAATCTTTTTACTGATAGAGCCTCCAGCCACTTACAAATCAAAAAATAGCCAATAAATTGAATTTATTCAGAGAGCTACGTGACATTAGCTCATCCATTAACTTTAGAAACCATCTTTTTCCTTGAAAAGCTAAGATCTGTGATTTTCTAAATAAACAATCTTTAAAAGAAGCACATAAATTCCATTAAGCCCAATTTCTGTGGCCATCTCAATAAAAAAGAAAAGAAAAAAGAACAAAAAAAACCCTAATCAGGATCCTTCGCATGCTTCATTGGAACAAACCCAGTAAAAGTTAAACTTAGGATTTCCAATGCCACAACAATCATAATCATAAACAAACAACTACAGGACCCAATTCAAAACAGAACATGAAACGGAGGAAAGGGGCAAAAAGAAAACTTTATACAAAAAAAATCCAAATAATTGTTGAAAATACAACTTAAATAGAGTTCTCAATTGCGTGAGAAAAGAAAATGCATCAATTTGAGAAGAAAATAATTAATCCTGAAATTTCCACTCACCTCAGAGACTCGAGAGCACTCGTTTGCTTTGCTTTCAATCTCACGATCATATATCTGTTTATTTCGAATTAACTAATTTATTTATTATTTGAAAAAGGAAACGGAGGAAGAAACGAGAAAACGGAGCCCAAAGTCAAAAGGAATTTTCTTGACAAAAGACCGATTTTGAAGCTTTATCAATAAAATCTAATTTCTTAGATCTAATTTCTGGACAAAATATAGTTTTTAATATAATTAGTATGACTAATCATATGTTAATTAAACTTTAAAAAATACACTATACTAATTAAACTTTACTAGGGTATAAGTAGACATTACTAAATACACTGACTAATAATCCCGTATGTTTTAAAATTTTACTAGTTTTTACACACGTGCAATGCACGTGATTTAATACCATGATTAAGTATTTTTGGCAGTTTGTGTTTATTTTTTTCTTTAAACTCTTACATCCCGATTATTTTTTTATGTTTGTTTAAATGGGATACACCCAATTTAAATTTTCATGTTGATATTTGAATTGACAAAAAATAAATATAATTTAAAAATAATTTTAATTTTCATATTATTTTTTACCGATATGAAACTAAGCTTTATTTGAGAAAGTATAGCATTGCAAAGTAAAAAATATTAAAATAGTGTTATACAAGGAAGGTGAATATTTAAAACCAATATGGCAAAATGATTGATTTAAAGTATGTTAAAACGATGCAAAAGAAAATATGAAATTTATTCCTAATCATTGATAGACTTCATAAAAAAATATAAATTAAAGATTAATGCTAACTCTAGTATATTTTTATATGATAAAAACATCCACATAAGAATATAAAAGTACTGAAAAAAATTCATAAAACTCCCTTCTAAAGATTCCTAATTTCACTCAAAATAATTAAACTATTCTATAAAATATTCATAAAATTTTGTTTTTATTTCTTCTATTTTATTTTTTATTGAGTTAAGATCAATCTGCCGGACTGGGTGCTTCGCCAAGGGGATACTCCTTAGCAAATAAACTCGGCCGTAAAGCTGTCACCTGCCGATTATAACCAACGGGGCGAACCCCATAGAAAGTCAGAGCTCCTAGAGCAACCCCATCTTGATCCTTAACCAGGGGCCAATCCATACGCCTCGGGACGGAAGCGCATTGGAAATAAGATAGGGGGAACATCCTCTCCATGTTGGGCAAGAAAAGGTTGCGGTCCTCAACTCTCCGCAGCCACTTATAGCCCCCATCATAAGCAGTGCTTGCGTTGAAGTCAACAAAGTCCCCGAAGAGATATCCAGGTTTGGTTATGGGCTTACGGCTTGGGCTTTCAAGTCGAGCGTCCGAAACCAACGTCCTGAGAGTGTCATGAGAAGCTTGGGTGATCAGTTCCACGCGACTCTTCTCCCTCATCCGGAAAACCGGGAGTTCTAAACGCGAGCTGAAAGTTATGTTCATGTCTGCACCACCTTCATGTCCAAAGTGGTGGCGAAAAAGAAGAGGCTCGCTGGTATGGCGCACTACAAAAAGAAGAAAAGAGTTAGACAACTCAAAATCAGACAAGTTCAGACGCGAAGGTCGAACCCCGCGTCAAACAAGTTCAGACGCGAAGGTCGAACCCCGCGTCAAACAAGTTCAGACGCGAAGGTCGAACCCCGCGTCAAACAAGTTCAGACGCGAAGGTCGAACCCCGCGTCAAACAAGTTCAGACGCGAAGGTCGAACCCCGCGTCAAACAAGTTCAGACGCGAAGGTCGAACCCCGCGTCAAACAAGTTCAGACGCGAAGGTCGAACCCCGCGTCAAACAAGTTCAGACGCGAAGGTCGAACCCCGCGTCAAACAAGTTCAGACGCGAAGGTCGAACCCCGCGTCAAACAAGTTCAGACGCGAAGGTCGAACCCCGCGTCAAACAATCTCAGACGCGAAGGTCGAACCCCGCGTCAGACAATCTCAGACGCGAAGGTCGAGCCTCGCGTCAGAAAAGTTCAGATGCGTGGGTCGACCCTCGCGTCAAAAATCTGAGACGTGGAGGTTAAACCCCTCGTCAAGAAGATTAAACGACGGGGTCCAGCCCCGCGTTATGGGAACGAGTTTCCTCGTTAATTTCAAGATCAGAACTTGCCGGAGCAAGTTTAATGACCACGAAGGTCGTACTCACCACCGATCAAAGGAAGCTGGGGCGTCACATTCGCCTGAGCAGCGGCGCCGCCGGTCGGCACCGACGGTGCAGATCCCCGAACCGTAGCGGCATCAGGCTTGGAAGCGACGTCGGACTTGGAGGACTTCTTTGGTGCCATTGAATCTCGTCGGAGAAGAAGAATAGTTTTCGCCGGAGATGAAAACGAAATTTCTTTTTCGTTAAATTTTCAAGAAGAGTCAAATGACTCTTGATTTGACCCCTAGCGGTCTATTTATAGACAGCTATGAGCTGTCAAATCCTAACGGACGGGATTCGAGGCCATCAGCCCGCCCAATCTCGACCCTCGCGTTCGAGTTGATTCAGCTTCCAAACGCGATGCTCACCTGCGCGTTCAAATTTCCCAACGCTGGGCTCACCCACGCGTTCCAATTCTCAAATGCAGAAGGCATCTCTGTGTTGAGACCACCATGAACAGCAATTTCTTGGTTACCAAAGCGATCAAAGCCAGGAAGAAACAAACGACTCCACTGGGGAGTCTGTTGGAGGAGTACAGATAGAGTACAGTCAACAACGGCGAAATCATCTGACTCGATCAGGCGGGAAGAGCAATCAATCCACCAAATTCTGGGATCCAAAGTATTCCGAAAATTCGTCCCAGTCAACCGCGAACTTTCGAAAACTTTGGAGGGGGTTCTGTAGGCTGTCTAAAAATCACAATAGATAGCTTATTCAAACAAGCTCCGACAACGGAGGTCACAATCAGACGACTTCCCAATCACTGCATCCGCAACTCCACAATTGCCACAAACGCGACCTCACTTCTGAGATGATTGATCTTGATGGCTGTGACAACAGCATGGCTAATATCATAGCAACTATTAGAGATGCTGATGAGCAGTGGGACGATTTCAGAAATAAAAAGTTGGACTCAGTTGGTGAGTTGCTTGATAGAGAGCTATGGGCGAATATTCATCTTTAAGACACTATGGATGTTGATTCCCGTCTAGCTCCTACAACGAAAGCTACAATCAAATAGCTTTCGGGTCGATGATCGAAACATATAGTCGAATAGTTGCTTGGTAGAGAGCTATGGGCGAATATTCATCTTTAAGACACTATGGATGTTGATTCCCGTCTAGCTCCTACAACGAAAGCTACAATCAAATAGTTTTCGGGTCGGTGAACGAAAGTTGTGAATGGAGGGCTTTTCACATAGGTCGAGAAGAGTTACAATTCAACGACACTTCCAACGACGGATGAAAACTCTATTCAGCAGTCTTCACAATCTACAGTGAAAGTTACAATCTGACGACTTTCACACTCCACAACAGCTAAAAGCCAGGATTACTGAACAACGGTCCTTGCAATGCACCACAGAAGAAGCTACAAGTCAAATAGCTCATTCTGAAACGCGGATGTCATCCTCGCGTCACCACTTTAAAAATGAAGGCGACCCCCGCGTCTCCAAGGCACAATCCAAACGCGGGCGACCCTCGCGTTCATAGGGGTTCAATCAACGTTGACCCCCGCGTTTCCAAGCAGGCAACAAGCCAAAACGCAAGAGACCCTCGCGTTCAATGGTGTTCAGCTAACACCCAACTTCGCGTCTCAATTCAAAGAACACGAAGTTGAGTTCTAAACGCCAGAATGGGCGTTTGACTTATTCAAACATAAGTCGAACGGTTCCAAAACCGTTTATCCCACGTCCTGAGGGATTTTCACCCACGTAGGAGCGGATATAGGGGTCAGTTACAACCCCTTATCCCCCTATAAAAACTCAACGAACTCAACTGAGTTGGGGGTTGGATTTTTGGCATCTGAACCACAAGGGGTTGATTGGATTTTCTCTGGGCTCAGATCAGAGGCTATTGGCCGGCTCGTTGAAAACCACTCTGGCTTGGAGATTCAGCAGCAACGAAATCCTTGGAGATAGGATTTTTGAATTAAACTCAGAAGATCAAATCTGAGAGGATTCTTCGACAACAGAAAAACAGCTTGATCACTAACCGAATTTTCGGTTCCAACAACTATATTCACAGAGTTCAAACTCGTTCAGAGTTCTTAAACTCATTCAGAGTTATTTATAAAACTTTCCACGAAAGTTCATCGTTCCCACGAGATAAAGACGGTCGGATCGTCAACGGAGAGCAAGTTCGACGCAATCAATCGAAGGAAGCACTCCATCGCTGCCAAGAAGAACCCAGTTTTAAACAAATGGGAAAACCAAATTCGTTTTCCTCTCTTTTGTAATCAAGTTGTAACCGAGATCAAAGGAATCAAAATCACATTTTCTTTATTCTCTTCTTTGCAATTTTCCCTACGGTAATATTGACCATTAAAAATTAGAATTTGATTATAGATAAGGTAGTTCAAACTATAAAGGGGTATATTTGTCTAAAAAAGATTTTCTGAACTCGTGCTTTTAAAGGGAGTATGATTTTGATAAAATCGATTACAAAAATCGATTTTACTAATTATAAAAAAAAATAGAGCAATTTTGTTTATGAAGTTTCACAAGGATCTTTTTGAAAAAACTCTCAAGTCAAAATCGTCAAGTAGCTAGCAGTTAATTTATTAGGTGCGGGTGATGGCTGCTATCCACGCATCCGCTTCCTCTCAGGGCCTGTTTGTTTCGGAAAAAAATTCAGAAAGTGGGGGAAAGTGGGGGAAAATAAAATATTTTTTGACGTTTTCCTCCACTTTCAGAGGTTTGGTTCGTCAAAGCTATAAAAAAAAGTTAGGGAAAGTATGAGCTGTCACTATATTATTGGTTGATGTGAGTAATTTTTGATGTTTTCCTCCACTTTCCTTGTTTAGATTTTTTTCTTGTGTTTGGTTCATTCTTAAAAGATGGAGAAAAAATATAAGATGAGATGAGTTGTCACCATATTATTGGATGATGAGATGAGATGAGTTTTCCTCCACTATCCTTGTTTTTTTGGAGGAAAGTGATGGAAGGAAATTTTAATGAGATGTGATGAGTTGTCACCATATTATTGGA